CAACTCGTCCGTCATGATGCGCGGCGTCGCTCGTCATGCCCACCAATGCGGCGTATTACGACTGCCTTGCCACATACGCGCTGACAAGTGGTCCTCCCCTCCCCTTCTCCACTATATTAGCACCCGACAATAGAATGTTCCAAGATAAGGTCGTGAAATAAATCGTATAGGACGACGGCCGCCATGAGACAAATGATTTGACGCCAAAGTACCATGCCGAGTCAACTAGCTAGTAATACAAGCTGGTTCGCGTGCGATGACGCGGCTCGAACCTTCTGTCTTCACCCACAATTCACATGAGCAAAGCAACAATTCCGAAGGGAATATGGGTACATCGCAATCAGCCTCACTCAGGAATAACTGAAACCTTCCAGGAAAGGGTACGGTAATGATAAACCATGCAAGCCAAAGAAAAATCACAAAACTGGAAGCGCGAATGCAGGCGTAGAACTCGAGTGCAAGCACTTTACTCACCTATTTGATCTATTCGTGGTAGAGACAAGTGAGTGAGTGACACACAGCAGTGCATAGTGAAAAAAAGCTTTTTAAGAGAATATTTCGCATAAACTTTGTTATTTAGAAACACTCGCACACGCAGGAGATTTTCATAAGTGCCGTAGCAAAAGTTGTTTTAGCCTACTTTCCCCCACGAATTTCGCGCCAAAGTGGGTCTTAAGGAGCAGGAGTGCTTACTTTCTTTGCTGTTCTTCTTCTTTCCATGACCTGTAGAGGGTGGTGGAGGCTGAGAGCCAGTACTCGATCCACCATGGAGAAGTCGATCGGTCTCCGTATCGTCCCCGTCAGCAGGCGTTTCCGCTGCCGTTGATGAAGCGCTCGCCGCCGCATTTGCATCCCCGTTCCATTCGTTAGAATGTTCCTGGAAAAAAGTGTTAGCCCTATTGGAATAACCATCACTGAATAAAACGGGCAGTTAACGAAACGACTACTTATGCATACTTCCTCTTTCGTTTCACGCTGCATTCGTTTCAAGTACGAATCACGAAGTACCCAAACAGGTTCTTCTGTGTTTCCATTTTCCTTGTTCTCATCCGGCCATTCAGACGAAGACGGCTGAGCTGACTGCAATAAAAACTTTTCTCTAGTTGTAACCTCCCGTCAAATCATTGTGATGTCCACAAGATTACAAGTTCAGGAGAACAGGCGGTATACAGCAGCCTCGAAAATTGCGTGTGGAATTAAATGTGTCGGCCCTGTGAGCGCACATAACCGGCCTGTCCGTAGGCCGATTGAGGGCATTAAGTGAGAGCGACGCTGATTCCGCTTCCCTCCTGGCCAGGGTTTGTCTGGACGGATGCTAAATCGTGCTGTGTGCATTCGCTGCTCCTACACACTCAGTTTTACGCGCATTTCGCAGTACTGTATATCGCCTATTCTCCTGAGTTTATCGGTGAGTGTTATAACAAACCTGACTGATGCGCCGATGAACTGGTCGAGCTGGTGGGGGAGGAGGAGCTATAGTTCCACCGGGAGGTGCATTTGCTGCGGTTTCCGACAATGTTGAACTTGCTGTCATTTCAGGAGCTGATTCGGTGCTCGATGACGGTGGGTCCACATGATTTGATCGATGGTCTTGTGCAAGAAATGCGGCAGCCAGCTGCTGAAATGAGTAGTACTCACCTACCACGCACCAGCGAGCATTTGAACACAGCTCAATAGTGGAAGCTGGGAAACTTTGAAAGTTTCTCAGGCATTTATGACCTTAGAGGGGGCATTTTAAGGCAGTGGGCACGATGGCTGGAGATGGGCAGCTACTGTCAACGTCATTGGTGGAGGGGGTGAGTGGGGTGGGACCGAGAACCCTCTTGCAGCCCTTCCACCAGTGACGTTTGCATTGACTTTTGCAGCAACCCCCCACCTCGGCCTTTGTGCCCACTGCTTCGAAGCCTCCTTGTGCTAAATTAGGATTAGTGCAACGCGAGTAGGATAAAGGCATTCTACTGGCGATACCTCCTGTACAATGTTCCCAGACGAATCTGGTGCCAATCAACCGCCCTCAGAGGGTAGAATGCTTATTGGCCTGAATGGGAGCCGATGCGAACTTTGACCCCGGCTCGCGCGCGTGGTAGGCGAACCACTTGCTACTACACAAGCTCCATAGCACGAGTGGGACACACATGGAATTGGTTCACCCAATCTGGGGCTCCTTCCACCCTAAAGGGTAGAAATTTAAACCAGTTTAGGTGCGGGCAAAAGTCTATATCTACAATACGGTGGTTGCAGTATCGCACAAGGAGACCTCAAAATGCCTAAAAGGTTAGTGACGCCGTTTCTCCTGTACTTCCATGGGAAATGAGTTTCCAAAGACTAGGGGCAGGGCAGGGCATGGAATTGCTGCCCTCGTGCGGTCCCAAGCTAGTGAGGGACCGCATGAGGGCAGCAATTCTGACGCCCTCATGCGGTCCCTCACTGGTCGACGAGATTCCTATCGATAGAACACTGAACTCACCTCTTGTGTAACATTGTGACCCCTTGTGTTGTGGAATTGCGCAGCGGCAAAAGGCATTTGTGCAGCGGCGAACGGACCAATCATTGGTTGTCCACATGGGAACGGCTGACCGATGGGAAATGGCTGAGTCATAGCACCCATGACCGGCTGACTGTGCAACGGCGAGGTCATACCATGAGGTATGGCAGCCATCTGGAATGTCACAATAAGGAAAAAAATCATTAGAAATATCAACCCATATTTGAGCTCGCGCCAGAATAACCAGTATTGTCGAAAAACTGACCTGCTGTGGTAGAAAGGGGACCGAGTTGGCTCCAGCGTATTGCATTTGAACATGAGGCTGAGCTTGTGCGGGTCCTGACTCGGGAAGATTAAACGACGATCTCAGCTGGTTAAGTGACTCCTTCGGCGGAGCTTTACACTCGCTAGCAGCCGGAGTGTACGGGAGGGCACTCTGAATACCATTCCTGAGAATTCAGTTAAGCTGGCTAGGGTTACTTTTCATTCAACAAAGGTTCACCACAGCAAATACTGCACCACAACAACACTTACGGTCCACATCTCGGCTTCGGAGAGGGCTTGTATAGGGAATTAGGGTGGGCGACGGACAATTGCAGTCCACATCTCGGCGGTGGGGGAGGGTGCATGCCCACAGAATGAGGTGTTGGCGGTGGATATTCTATGAGACAGACAAAAATCTTCCCGCTCCTTTTGTCTGGACTGAAACCTAACCACCACGTCACCGCGCTCACAACAAATTCCGTGAACACTCCCCCTCCAACGCCGAGATATGAACAGTACAAGATTTCGTTTTCCGTTTTTACTACAACAGAGATCACTTAGGTCAATCACTAGCTTCATGCACTGGCAACTAATAAATGGCTCGGCCGGGAATTTATGGCCAAATCCATCATAACCTTCACGAAATAACTAATGGTTTTACACCGCAGATATGAGTGCGTCACTGACGCACTCCGACTAGACCTGATGACGCACTTAACTATTAAGAACAAAAGGTTCTGCCTTCTAGAAACTACACCTTAAACTACTGGATTGCAAGGGAAACACACAGGAGTAGACGACGAGGGGATGGAGAACGGCTGGATAGTCCAACTGGCACAATCACGACATGCTAGCAGTACGTCATCAGCAGCACATCACGACGTTATACAGACCTGTGAGTCAGTGGTGGAGCCAGAAGAGAAGTTAGGTGCGAATGTAGCGTGCTCGTTCAGAGCTGACATTGAGGCTGCTGAAGTGAGGCCAGCAGTAACGGCAGTCGTGCCGAATAACTCTGCTAACTCCCGATCGTCTATCTGAATCCAAGCAACGCACTTAGAAAATGTAGGTACACTATTTCAGAAGGCAACAAGCATCAGAACGCGATTATAAAGAGCAAAACCCTTTCGCGCATAAGGAAGGGACAAAGTGGTTGGTGGGGGGGACATGGTCAGCACTGGTCACGTCAGCTGATGCAAAACTCACCAGGGGGATCGTATTTCGTCGCTGAAGAACAGATCGTTTTAGGCTTTGAGATAGCTTCTTCTGACTGCTAATTTTTACCCCCCCCCCTCTACTATTTGGTGGTGGCGCGGAGAAGTTACTAAATTTGCTGGATGTGTCTACAGTGGCGCTTGACGGCAGAATTTCGGGGAATTTTGAAAGATGGTAGTCTTGGTATGGTGGGGGCGTGTCAGGAAAGTGGGTTGACCGTTTCATTTCTTTTTTTCTTTTGTGAGCGGCGAAACTGCATCATACCAGTCTCATCAGTAGTTTTCCACCAATTGTTGACGCCTACCCTTCAAGAACTGAGGGCGCGCCAGACCCATCCTCCTCGACGCCCTACCATCCGCAGCGAATAGAACTGTGGGCGGGTTTTGAAAGGGGTCGAAACGGAGATGAAAACATCGGAGTAGCACTGATAACGCCATTTTACCCATTTCGATGCTGTACTCCGGCTAACAGAAGGGGGAGGGCAACCGCCACGGGGTAGCAAAATTCTAGTGCAGGTGTTGAGTTTACACATATTTAGCGCTGAACGATATCCTTATCTCGTATACCACACAATGTGCTTCCCTATCGGAGCCACGGTTCAACCTCAATTTTCCTTGTGAACACCGCCAAACACAAAGTCTACGCAATCATGCATAGAGCTCCGGAAGGCGACTGGAGTGACAAATAAAAGTAAAGACATTTATGAACAGAACAAGTGAAATTGATCAAAGCGT